CTGACGAATTATCGAAAATTCAACGAACGTTTTTCGTGACAATTTTTACGTTTACTTTGCGATTACTTTGAAATTCATAATTATTCGTCGCCGGAAATGTGTGATGCTCAGGCGACGCAGTAGAAATAGCCGCGCGTCTCTTTGTTCTCAACATGTACATTTTATGATCGACACTTACCCGTCCGCCGTAAGCTCGAAGAAAGTCGAGCGTAAAAATGAATTCCTAGTCGCTCGAATATAGAGCACTGCTTCTCATAAAGCGACATCATAAACTGTTTAGCATAATGATCTGTGAAACTGATGCAATTTTTAGCTCGCAGAGAATCTGCGCTCATCTTGTTGTCGCGTACGTAAGAGGAAGAGAGAGAGAGAGAGAGAGAGAGAGAGAGAGAGAGAGAGAGAGGGAGGGAGGGAAGGAGAAATAAAGGGTGAGAGACAGAGAGGGAGAATTTTTGTACAGTAATGTGCACTTATATGCATTTGTGCGTATCGCAGATTAAACTGCTCTATTGTGCATGCTAGTTCTGCATATACGAGTATACGCAAGTGTCATGCACGCAATAACTTAATTTGTATGAAATAGCGTGGATGCGCGTTTCTCTGTCGCGAAGGAATATTCGTTGCATGTATACGCAAACGAGACACTGCCCCCGCAGAGTTGAATGTTGAGTGGCTTATTGTAGTTATCATTTTTTGCTTCAGTTGCTTTTGCCAAAGAGCAATAAAAATGATAACTGTAGAGAGAGAGAGAGAGAGAGAGAGAGAGAGAGAGAGAGCGAGTCGTAAGAGTCGTAAACAGTAGAAAAAGCCACCTTATGTTAGTTTTATGTATCTTTAACGAACTTACGTCCATCGTCTCGTATTGTTCGATATTTTCAAGCTGATACAAGGTATAATTAGAAGCAAAATTCTTGATAATGTGAAATAATAATTAAGATGTGGACGTACGACTGAGTAATAATTTTAACTGTGATTAAATTACACTATCTTTTTTACAAGTTGTGTATTGCTTACAACACTTGAAGCGAAGTGCGAAGTGACAGCATGAGATAATCACAGATAAAGTTGATATTTCATCGTGGAGAGAGATCAATCCGTTACAAATTACATCTTGTTCAGTTTTCTTTTGATTTTACTAAATAACGATAATGATCGATCTAATATTCACGATAGAAAAACGAACCTAAAACCGGGACTATATTTTTATTACTTCCGAACTTATCATAAAATTTGTTGAAAAACAATCGCAGATAAAGAATCAAGCTTTTACATATACCATTCGTCCAGGTTTTTGACAGAAATTTTATTTTATTATAAAGAAATATGCATTACAAGATTATTTTACAAGATTACTTGTATATAAGTCTTGTAGTTTTAATATTTCGGTGTTCAGATGTCACGTATGCAAGGAACGTCTTGCAAGTGACTACAATTAATAGTACGCAATAAAAATAATTCTACAGCGAAATTTCTGAGTGTACACTTGAGTAGGAATTTAGATGGGTTTTATTAAACAAATAATTAATAATAGTAGTGCAGCAATTATATACAATTAAACACTGTATAATGTGAAATACTTAATGTTTCCTTCGCTTTTCGCGATCGTCTCTCTTGTCGCGGTCATCTCTACTGCGCTTTGTTGTCGTCGTGGTCGAGCTGCTGGCGCGTTTGGCCTGCTTCAAGAACTGATCCAAACCGAACGGATCCTCCTCATCTTTCTCGAATTGCACTGGTCCGGAACGCGTGGCCGATCGGTCGGTTCCGCTAAATTCTTTGTCAGGAACAAATCTGAAACGGCGAAAGAATGGTTGGAAATTTTGGCGGTATTATCGGAAACTCGCGATACTCGAATAGAATTTATCCGTAATATCCTGCATGAATATGTAGAGGCAATATTCTTACCTGTTTGTCTTAACCAATTTTTCGAGATCGTCGCCGTAAGTATCTTTATCGATATTCTTGCTAGGACGATAAATGTGCGAAGCGATCGAATTGCTATCTTTCCATGGTTTGTCGTACACGTTGTACTCGTCATCGTGACCGTAACCGCTGTCCATGCCCTTACTAGTGTTGAAAAGACGCTGATCGAACTGCGCTTCTCCAGTATTCGGAATGCTCTTAGCGGGCAAACCAAGCGCAATCTGCTCACTGATATCGCGTTCACGCTCGCGTTGTAGACGAGATCGTTTGTCAGGTGCGGCACGTGCCAGGTTCCGCTCACGAGCGCGATCTTTGTGTCGCTCTTGCCTGAGTTGGTCCCTTTCACGCGACTCCTCGGCTTTCTCTGTAAGAAATGTTTCAGTAAGTCCTCAAGGACCATTTCTTTTGTCAGTTTGATTTAATCTTCCGAAAGATTTCTTTACGCTTTCGTCTTATCGATGATGGATTATACGAACCTAACGCTGTAGCGGATTTCAAGCCAGCGCGCTCTTCTCTGGCTTTTTGTGCAAGTTGTCTCAAATGATCCTCTTTCTTTTCTTTCTCTTTCTGAGCCAGTTTCTTCTCTAACTGCGCTCGCATCTCGACGGCTTCCCGAGCCTTCCTATCGGCGATGTACAAAGCTTCCGCCAACTTGGCGAAATTCTCGTTGATATGAACTTGTTGCAAGCCACGGCCGTCCGCAGCAAGACGCTTGTCCAACGGAATCGTGTAACCCTGAAATTAAACGGTTTTCTTTAAACGTCGGATGAATAAAATATCCGTGCTGTTATTTAACATGTTTCGATAACTTATTCGTGATATTAAGGCCTTTCGAGATACCTTGGCGTTTTTCCAATTACTTATGCATGGCGGTATTTTCCATTCTTTTTGCTCCTTCACCGTCACTTTCCTAGTAGGCGAATGTATAACTGGCGCTGGAGGAGACGGAGGGCCTCTCGGAATTTTTTTGTTAATTCTACAATTGTACACTTTTTTAGATAAATATATCCGATAACTACATCTTGTTGTTCATTAGACTCCGTGCAATTTTTTCAATTTAACCATGCTATACTTTGGCTCTACATACTTAAACTTTGGTGGCTCCAAAGGATCCACTTGAGCCTCCACCATTCTGATCACTCGTTGTTTCGCACCAGAGTTGAATGATTGTCCTTGTTGCGACGGCGTATAGCGAATGTACTGAGCTGGAGCTTGTTTTTCAGCGCATCTTACAGGCATGGCTGCCGCGATTTTTGATCTTGTTATCTTTTCCAAAGCCTTCTTTGTCTTATCCCTGAGTTCATCGGTTTCCTCGTCGGTTGGCCGTTGCAAAGTAGGATCTTCCTCGTTTGTAATTTCCGATGGCAATAAGTCACTTAATTTGCTGTAGACGATCTGTAACAAAATTTAAAGGAAATATTAGGAATAAATGTAGGAAGTCAAAATGTTGTTATGATATAATAGATCAGTCAAAAATTTGGTTCGATCTTTTGCCTTATTTGACAATGTACCATGCCACCTTACGATGGAGGTATATGAACGCTGCCAGGGATTTGATTTTATTAAAAAATCAAATCAAATTTTTATTTGACTTTATAAAAAACAATAAAGTTTACCTTGTCTTTACCATGACCTTGTCTAGCTATCAGATCATACTTTACTTTTCCTTGAGCATCAAGTTGAACTGCTAAGGCGTTGCTTGTAGTTTCCTTGCCTTTCATCCCCATTCCAAGTGGATACTGTGCGACATGAATCTCAGGAAAAGCTCCTCCATCTCCAAAATCCTATGCAAAACAAGGTATGTATTACTTTTCCAGGTAGATACCATAAGTATCATTGTTATTATCATATGTTCTTTTGATTCAGTGTTAGATACTCAACTATGTGCAATCTAATGCAAATGCTAAAGGAAGGATTACACTGAACAAAAGATATAAATTTTTGTTGTACATGACATAATAATTACTAACTTCTGGATTACGTGGCACCCATCCTCGTCGTTGTCCATAAGGTGGAGCAGTGACAACAGCCTTGACCAGTGCTGAGACAGGTCGTTGGCGCAATTTTTGCTCACGTGCTTCATCTTCTCTGTCCCATACTACTTGGGTAGGAGCAGGTAACAAACTAATTACAAGAAGAAATAAAATTATTATTATAAAGGAGTGCCAATTTCATAGTTAGGGTAGCATTCAATTTCCGATGGAAAATATAAGAAACATGTCCCTTAATGTTATTTAACGCTCTGTAGATAAGTATTAATGAAATAATTTGACATATAATAATGTAAACAGTTCTTACATACCTTGTCAAGGACATCGTTGCTCTAATCACTCGATACTAAAGAGTCCTTACGGTAACTTATTTTAGATACAATGGACGCTCAGAAAACACAACCAGAGAGAAGGAGAGGGGTCTGGTTCTGGTTCTGGTTCAATAAATGGCTCTGAGCAGAGCTGTTACATTCTATCTCCTACGCCAGTCAACGAAGTTACGAAAGTAAAAAAAAACAGGGACAACGTGTATGCAGTCCCCACGATCAAAAATATGCGTAATTACTGGAACCACATCCACATCCAACCGCCACGGAAGCGAACAAAAGAAGGAGAGGGGTCATGCGCCACTTTTAGCCAAGCCAGCGTAGAGAACCTCTAGAGGCTTTCTAAAGCCTGCGTCATACTACGGATTAAAGATCAAGGATTGCGGATTGAAGATTGAAATTTGAATCGGAATAAAGTGAATCAAAACCGAAGTTCGTCGATTTGTCGAAATCTAATCTTCAATCCGCAATCCTTGATCTTCAATCCGTAGTGTGACACGGGCTTAAAGCCCGTATCAGACTACTGTAACGTCCCACCATATTAAAATTCCCTATCTTCTCACCAAAACTCACCATACCTTTTCCTACCCAATCAAATCCTTACCTATCATCGACTAATCCAACTGCAACGCCTCCTACAAACACCTCTGCAATCAACAGGTACCTCTGCCATCTTTTATCGTTAATATAATATAATATCATTAATACTCGAAACTATTTACTAAATCATCATCTATCTTCTTCTTTCTCTCTCTTCCTTCTATCTTCTTGCTTCGTTTAGTAAGCGATAGATTATCAAACAACTAAATAACATAAAAATAATCATAAATAGCATATTTTGAAATAAAATTAACATTAACATAGGAAAAGAGAGAATAAGAAAATTTAAGAAATAAATTTAGAGCTAGCTTATAAATTCATTTGTCTCGGGGACTAAGAACGATTTCGTTCGGGCACAGCCGCGCACATATTGGAATGTGTTTATGTTATAGATATCATCGAGTGATAGCTGTCCTACGTACTGCGAACTAAACAAAGACCTGAAACAAAGACTCGAAGAGGAAAATAATTTCCTTTCTTTCTTCTATTTTTCTTCTTTTTAAATGATATTAAATAATTGCCATCATATTTCGCAAATAATTCCTCAAATATTATTGTCAAACCGCCTATCCTAATGTATATGCGCTTTAGAATTGTAAGAGGATCTATTCGTATTATTTAACTTTAACGATTACTACGCCCGAATGAAATAATTCTTTTAAGTTTCCAAATTCTTATATTATACCAAAGGAAATCAATAACAACATTTCTATTTCTTAGTAAAATATAATTTTATTAATAAATCAGCCAACAACGAGACAACTGAATTACCAAACGCTACATATGATTAAGTATAATTTTAATTACTAGATAATAACATTTTTATATTTTTTAACCAATAAATAATGAATGGTGAATTAGGAAAAGACGCTCAATTGATATCCATAGTATCGGGCTTGGGTATAAAAAGGGCTTGGCCCTTCGCGCGCAGGCAATCTCTCGGCAGTCTCTAGGCAGTCTCTCGTCAGTCTCTAAGCAGTCTCTCGTTAGTCTCTAAGCAGTCTCTTGTTAGTCTCCAATTAGCCATCAGACAATCTTTCGCTGAGCCTCTTGTTAACCGATTACCAAAGGGTCTTGAGCCTGGAATCAAAAGGTCGGTATTAAAGATTATTGTTCTTGGGACTCCGTCTGCAAATGCTAAGACGCTTGTTAAGATGTAAAATCCAAATCATTAAAGGTCGAACGAGCCTCTTTTCCTCATAATGATACTATAGAGAATCATTGCTATTACTTGAATAAATATTGAGCCAGCTATTAACTACATTAAATTTAGTGTATGAATTTTTAAATTTAACAATATAGAGTAATTTCATAATATATATATATATATATATGTGTGTACAGATTTCTTTACCTCTCTTCCCTCTTATCATCTTCAATCTTTTTCCAGAATGCCGTGCTTGAACCACGAACACCATTCGCCTTTTTATTCTTCAAACTTAACCACGTCCCTTCCATCTACTCTATTATAGATATTGTTAAAATAAATATTACCTAAAAATCTCTCATGCCGAAAAGAACAAGAAGAGCCGGACGGCGGATTCAATTTAGACGTCTGTTGAAAAGTTATTATAATCCAGGCACGCTCGACCTGGCTGTTTTCAAAACAGATCCATCTAAATCTTCGGTCCCGAGAATAAAATCTGAAATAAAGGGAAATATATTTGAAGTTAAATTCAACACTAGCGAGAATACTATTATTTTTAAACCTAACAGTAACCCACCTCCAAAGGAAACAGATTCAAATAATAAGGATCTGGACAAGAATAGCGCTGATTCGAAGTAAACCAAACAAATCTAGACATCGCATGTTCTATGCTTGTCCAGGACGTAACACTACGGATTGGAATTGAGTATTGGATTGAAATTTAACCAATCAGGGTTAAGTTTACTATATTTGAGATTATTTTCTTTTTTTCAATTGGTCAAATCTCAATCCAATCTCAATCCCAATCCATAGTCTTATACGGGCTTAAGGCCGTGTTCCAAAATTCACTGCCAAAAATTGAAAACATATAGTTTATGTCACGCGAACTATAACTTTTCTGCGCTGGCAGTGAATTTTGGAACACGGCTTAAGCCAGCGAAGTGCGAAGCGCTCTTTGTACAACCGTGCGCATGAACTAACGACGCGAGTGTCCACAATACTTTAAAGACCGGTCCAGAATAGGTTGCAAACACCCAGTTGCGAGTTGCGAAGGATGGAGCAACTACTAGTTGCAAAGTGCTATTTCTGGTTATAAGAGACAGTTGCGATTGCCGATTGCCATCGCCAAGAAGTTAAAAGTTGGGCAACTCTCTTTTAGCAACCGCAATTTCGGTCTTACGACCGAAAATAACACTTTGTAATTAATAGTTGCCATTCTTTGCAACTCGCAACTGGGTGTTGCAACCACAGATGTCTATACTATACTAGATTGCTAACTTCGATCTTTGACCTATATAAGAGCTGTGTCCCGCCTATTTTCCGGTTCGGCCATGAAGACCGCCAAAACATGGCGGCGGTGTGTGTTTGTAGTGCGTACGTGAGTATCCGATGCGTGTGTAGTAGTGCTGTACTGTAAGTATGTGATACCTGATGTGTCTACACTGATGTGTCGTATCTACTGCTATTTATATTAGTAAAACTGCAAAAATATAAACGAGATAATGCCAAGTACATGTTGCATTGTTAATTGCAATAATACGAATAAAAAAGGATATCACTTATTTAAGTAAGTAGAATACATTTATATATAATAAATGTTCGAGGTTTGTAATATGTGAGGGTTATCTTGCAATTAAACATTGTTAATATTATTAATATTATGTTAATATTATTAATATTATTAATATTAGAATGTATTCACTTACAAAAACAACGAAAGATAGAAATCCTGCAAGTAACAGACACAAATTTACAAAATTAATATTATTTAATAACACATAAGTTGCATTTTATTCTTTATATGTATGTAAAAAATATTAATACAAATACTTTGACATATTTTGAACTGTATATATTCAATTTAATTTTAACCTTTACCAAACACTTAGATTAGCAACACCTTATTAATACACACATCTTTAAATGATATTCTTTCTTGTTCGTATTTTTGAAATTTACAATACTTATTCGGCATTATCTCGTTTGTAGATTTGCAGTTTTACTAACATAAATAGTAGTAAACACATCAGGTGTCACATACGCACTACCATGCACTACTACATACGCATCGGGTATTCACATACACACTACAAACACACACCGCCGCCATGCTTGGCGGTCTTCATGGCCGAACCGGAAAATGAGCGGGACACAGCTCTTTTGAGAAGTTAGCAATCTAGTATAGTATAGATATCTGTGGTTGCAACCTTCTTCTGGACCGGGCTTAAGCCCGGCGAAGAATGCGAAGGACTGCCACTACATACAGGTTTTAGTCCTGGTCTACAATATGTGATTTAAGCTTTAAGCTATAAGAAATTAACCAACGGCAGTCGATTATTTTTCTCACATTCAACTGTAATTGTTTAATTTCTTATAGTTTAAAGCTTAAATCACCTATTGTGGACCAGGGCTTACCGTCGATACCTGAAAATGGATGTAGCGTTGTAGTTCCCCTCTCAAAATGGATGCAAATAGTTCTTTCTCAGTGTGGAAAGTCGGTGTTGCCGAAAACGCCGTGTTGGCCGCTCTCAAGTCCCTCTCTGATAAAAATATTAATAAACTAAAGCTAAAACCAAGTTTGTAAACAAAAATTGTAGGTGGCTGTGAACGCCCAAGCGTGATCAATTACGGAACTTTTAAAGCCTAGCAATCTTGTAACTAAGGCCGGTATTCATAGTCGGATCTTATATTTAAGACCGTCTCAAATTCATCTTCAAATGCTATACAAATTATTTCATTCCCAGGTAGCAGACTAACGTCAAATGACGTACTAATAACGTCTTAATGACGTTAGCTAACGTCATTAAGACGTCATTAGTACATCATTTGACGTCAGTCTGCTACCAGGGTTGGCTACGAAATATCTGAAAATGAACTTGACGCGGTCTTAAATATAAAACCTGACTATAAATACCGGCCTTAAACTAAAGTTTCCGAAATCAATTTCGGAACAGACTTTAGACTTAAGGCGTCACTGTTATTTATTGATTCTTATTGGAGCACGTTTGATACATATGTCGTCATACGACCAATGAGCGCTTTACATTACATCATCTTGGGGTAAAATGTAACCAATGAAATGTTTCTGTACTTAGCTCTGGATCCTTCTTCAATCCGCTCTTCCGTCCATTTTCCATCGCAGTTTATTCGCGTTTACGCCACGTAATGTGTTTTGCGCGTTGCTAGACTCGTATAATGCGTAGAGATTGTTGATCGAGAAAACGAGATTGTAGAAACGATCTTTGTGAGTTTCGTTCGTTGTTTTAGCTTACACGTGAAAGCACGCTGTACGGCCGTGCTTGCGGTAATTCAGCAGCGCAATCGCGGGTGACTTGTCAGTCACGAGCGGCCATTTTGTAAGCGATTCTGATTCTTTTTGATTCCACGCTATGTCAGAGGCCGAGGCGTTGTCGCAGAAAAAGCAGCAGCCGTTTCATCCGCAGCAACAGCAACTAGGAGCAGGCCCGATGGCGAATATGGCATGGCAATACCCGTCTCCGAACAATATGCACATGTTTCCTCCGTACGGCGGGTGAGTCGTCGCGTTCAACGAATCTTGTTAATAGGATTCTCCGACGGATGTTCGTATTTTATCTTTACTTCATTTCTCTCGTACAGTTTACTTTCGTAAAGAAAACTGTTCATAAATAATTAATATTGCATACAAGTACGTAAGCATGTGTCGATAAGATTCTGTTATCGGTTTTACATTCTTGATTAAATGATCAACAAAAGCTCTCTCTACAGGACTCATTCCTAGATTACTCGTTAGCCTTCTACCGCAGACGCCATTACACCATTTTGACCATTTCGTCGATACATGAGCTCGATGTCAATCATTAGGCGCATAATGCTGTGAATTTTTAATATACAAGTTTGCACCATTTTAATATGGTGTATAAACATATTATGTTTTAGAATGATTCAACATTGTATAGAGGCATTAATTATATCTAAAGAACATTTGGTTGCGAAAGAGCTGTGCTGTTTCTTGTAAATTGAAATGGCAGACATATTTTTTATTAAGTTTAAATATTTTTTTTTTATTTTTACTTAAATTTGGAGTTAAGAATATTTACTTATATATCTGACATGTTTGTTTATTTGTTGTAAAGTTTGGAATATTTCTAAAATTAAAAAGACATATATTTGCACCTGTTATTACTATCAATATTTCTAATATAACATCAAATAATTTATAATTTTAGCGATCTTTTATTTTCTTTGCAGACACATGTATGGTCCTGGTTATCAAGGTGTACCACACCAAGGACAGGTGTTTAATTATTATCAAACGATGATGCCAGGATACGGTCAGCCTTTTAATCCACAGCAGATGCAGCAGCATCAACATCAACATCAGCAGCAGCAGCAGCACCAACATCAGCAGCAGCAGCAGCAACAACAGCAGCAGCAGCAGCAGCAGCAGCAGCAACAACAACAACAGCAGCAGCAGCAGCAGCAACAGCAGCAGAATAACAACCAATCAAAGCAACAGTTACACCAGCAACCTCCTATACCTGGGACCCCGATGGCTCTAGATGATGAATCTGATCTTCCTCCATTGCCACCTGGTCCACCACCAGCACTTCAGTCGACTCAGCAGCAGAATAATCATATACAGCAGCCGATGCCTTTCCAAGGAATGATGTATAATTCATACTCTGCTTATGGCAATTGGAACATGCACAATGATCCCTCTTCTCGTAAGTATTGTCTGTATTCTTTTATAAGAAATAAAGACACAGAGGAATTGACACAAAGCTACACTTACAATTGAGAGATTGAGCACATTTCTGAAATGTTCTAGAAGTTTAGTCTTGTTTCAACAATCAATAAATTACCATCAAACATTTTTCATAATTTAGTTAAATTAATTTTATGATTATATATTGTTAAAGCAAAAGTAAAGATTTTGGAGCATCTTATAATGCTCTGTCGCACCTGTCATTTGATTTCGATGTAATCCGTGGGAATTTCTAGCATTCTTTATTTCTTAACATCATCATTTAAAGTGGCTTCAGTAAGGAAATAGAAGTCTTAATGTGTCGTCTTCTTTCATTTACAGAGTACAATGGGCAGATACGTTTCAATTTACCGAATAAGAAAACCGGCCTCGGGTACACGCCGTCCGGCAATAGCGGCGCCGCGAAGAAAAAGCGTAAGCGGAACAAAAATTTAGCAGCTCAATTCAACAATAGCTTTCAGGGGAACAACGTGACAAACGGATCTTTTATACCAATGCCTACTACGAAGCCGGCGGAACTACCGCCGCTGCCGCCCGTGAAATGCGAGGTGGCGGCAGCTCCACCGCCGCCTAGCGAGGAGCCGCCAGATATCACACCACCTGATACTTCCACTCCAGCGGTACCCGTGAAAGTGACTCCCAACATCGGTACACTGCCTGCCGCCACCCCTTCTATAACAGCTACTACTCCTAGCCCGGTGGGTGACTGGCCCGATAGTCTAAAAAACTACGTGAATCGATGTTACGAGAAATGTAAGACGTCGTTCGACAAGGATCAGGTTGAGATCATATTGAAGGGCAAGATTACACGTGCTGCGAATGACGGCTCGCTCTGGGTAAAGGACTGGGACCAAGAGCAATTGCCGCTTCTCCACAGCGAGCGGATGACTCTGCAAATCGCGAAGCCGCCGCTAAAGATGCTGCCAATTCCTGTGGGGAACCCATTAGTGAACGCACAGGGAGGCCTGCGCAAGCCCGGCCTTTCCACCTCACTCGGGGCTCGGCTTGGCGCGCGTCTCTCTGTGACGCACAGCAGGCGATCGAGGTCGCGGTCGAGGTCTAGATCGAGGTCGAGGTCAAGATCCAAATCGAGGTCGCGATCCCGCTCACGTTCTCGCTCACGTTCGCGCTCGCGTTCGCGTTCGCGCTCCAGATCGACCCGTTCGCGTACACGTAGCCCGCCTGTTCGTCGATACCGACGGAGCACTTCCTCGTCGTCGAATCTTAGCGATCGGGAACACGACTACAAGGTGTTGAAAATGAAAAAGTCCGCGCGCAACAAGGCCAATCACGGCGGCAAGAAGACGAAGAAGACTAAGCAGGCTAAGTCACATTTCTATAGCGAGTTTGGTTTAACTACAGGCAACGCCGACGAGCTAGGCTCCAAGGAGAAGCTGCAGCAGCGCGCCGCCAGATTTAACAACGGCATCTCCCGGACGATCGGCAGCAGCGTTATTAGAGACGATTCGGCGGATTTCGACTTCACTGGACTCCACATCGTCGGCACGTGCAAGGATCTTGAAAAGCCTTATCTGCGCCTTACTTCGGTACGTGAAATTTTATTTCAGTTTCGACTTGTTGTTGTAACTTGTAGATCGAAGGAGGGCTGTTATATTTTTAAATTTTCAACTTTGGACAAAATTAACTGCTGAATTCATATATCTAATACTCACGTTTTCTCTCGTGCTCGATGTTATTACAGGCTCCCGCTCCTTCTGCAGTTCGACCGGTAAGTGTACTTCAAAATTCTTTGGCCCATGTCAAGAAACGTTGGCTAGCCGAGCAGGACTACAGATACGCTTGCGATCAACTGAAATCCATCCGGCAAGATCTTACCGTCCAAGGTATTAGGGACGCATTTACTGTGCACGTGTATGAAACCCATGCCCGTGTAGCTTTAGAACGCGGTGATCACGAAGAGTTCAACCAGTGTCAAACGCAGCTGAAAATGCTATATCAGGATCTCGGCGGCGAGAACCGATGCGAATTCATCGCGTATCGGATACTTTACTACATCTTCACCAAGAATACTCAAGGTTGGTAGCGAATGGAAATTTGCAATACGAAAAAATCTATACCTCTTAGAGCCCAATTTTGTGAAAAAATTTTGAAATCTTTCCGATAACGATGATATTGTTTGCTTTCAGATTTAACGACTATTTTAGCAGCGCTCACACCAGAAGACAAGGTCGACAAATACATACAGCATGCATTAAAAATACGCTCGGCGTGGTGGCTGGGCAATTTCCATGCTTTCTTCAAATTGTACAGGCAGACGACGCAAATGTCCACCTTCCTGATGGACTGGTTTATTGCAAGAGAGCGGAAGATGGCATTGAAATTTATGATAAAGTCGTATGTATTAAAATTATCTATTATTATTTTCACAATATTTTTCGAATATGTGCATAATTTGTTTCTCTTGAAATGTGCAGCTTTATATTTATATTTGTTTCTCGCAGCAATTCTTCAAGTTGGCCGAACATAATTATTAATAATATTGGGTTCGGTTTTTAATCGTTGACTTTGATTTTGTTTTCTTCATTTTCTGTAATTTAATTTCCACAAATTTATATTTCCCGTGGTATATATATTTTTTTAATTCCAAATATAAGTTTTTGAAAAATATTTAGTTTTATTTAGTAAATAATTTTTGACTCGTATTTGTGCTCGTAAGTATTCGATCAAAATTGGCACGATTGGTGCAATTTCTTCGGCATTTATTTTATGAGAGGAAGTGAAAATTCTTTCGTGTGAATTTTATTATAATTTATTGGAAGGTGTATATACAATCGGAAAAATGCATCTAAATTTAATCGGCGCTGCCTCACGGGATTAGTCTGATTTTTTTTTTAACATTTAGTTAAGTGCACACAGTTTAATTGCCATGCTTTAACAAATAATTTCCAATGGGGGAAATCTGAATCATGTGTTATAACTATGCAGATTTCTGTTACAGGACATCGTAGCCGAAAGTTTTTATATCATTGTTAAATGCATTTCTCTTTGTGTTCCATATATGTACAAGTACTTACCACCCCAATTACTTATCGTCTACGAGGATTGCCTAATCGTTTGCGTTTCTTCTACTGTTTAGCTACAGGCAAAATTTGGCGGTTCATTTCGTCGTAGCGGAATTGGCCTTTGAGTCTTCGGACAAGTTTTATGAATTTGTCAGTGAGTTCGGCTTGGTTTACGCCGATCTCGCTCGACAGCTAATCGACTGCAAGGCGAGCAGTGCTAATCTAGGTGGTTGGTAGATGGCTGCGCCGCTCTACTCTACCTTTCCCCCCGTGTGACGGAAGATTAACGTAACGCGAATGAGAAGGTCGCACGCTCCAACCATACGCGTGTGTGCACGCACACGTGAAAAAAAAAAAAAGAGAAACGAGAGCACTCTTCAACAACGCGCGTTCTATGTGTATATGCATATGTTCCTCTACGTACGTGGCTCGTGTACGGCGCATATGCATATATATACGTGCGTAGATAGACGTAAATACTTCGTTCCGCTGGTACGAGCATTTCTGTCAATTTCTCTCGCTCCCGGAAACCTCACATGTGCCGATTCCGCTTTGCATATGATCGTCATCGTCCTAGGGCGCATCTCTCGCAACGCCCCGGACGCCAAAAATGCTCGAGGTCGGAATTTCGACTACGGTTCTGGCTGCGAGTTCGATCAATTTGTACATAATATTCCTTCGTTCGGTCCCCTGCACGCATCTTGTACATACATAAGATCGCAAGAGGAATAGATGAATTCTGCGTAAAAGGGGCCCTATTGTACAAAAAATATCAGGATGGGCCATTTCCGCGTTCATCCGGCACTACCTCAATGAAAAAGAGTTTGTCCTTCCCGAAACATAAGAAGTTATTCTCTACGACTCCGGGGATCGGATTTATGCGAATCATCATGCAGCCACGGTGTTCGAGAAATGAGAAACACTTCCCGTTTGTTCTCAGTTCGAAGCACCGAATCGTCGTTTCAATTCTTTCCGATCATTGTAGTGTCACCCACAACTGCACACGCAACTGCACTTTTACCGCCAGGTGTATCTATGATCGATTTTTTGAGTTTCTTTTAACCGCTTTATATGGACAAAAGATGTAGCCGCCTCACGAATCCTCGGGTTGAGCCGCAACGGAGAGGAAAGACGAAAAGACAAAGCATCCTCTTTACGAAGAAGAGTATCTTTCCAAGAGGATATTTCTGTTCTACACAGTCGCACTTGAATTTTACGGGAGAAGAAAAACATCATGACCGCCCATGCTTCTTGCATTCGTGGAGGACGAATCGATCGGATCAGTCGGGATTGATAGGAACGAGTGCCACTTTTTGAAGAAAACCGATTTCGAAGAAAATCGGATTTTAAATGAAGAAAAAGGAGGATGTGTGTGTGTGTGTGTATGTGTGTGTATGTATGTGTGTGTATGAGAGAGAAAGAGAGAAAGCGAAAGAATAGGAATGTCGACAAGACATCGCCGGTTCGTGTCGCGACATCGTACTTCGTGGACTAGCAATTTTTAATTAAATGAAATTCCTGCGTAGCAAAGAAAAGGTCGTGGTGTCGACGGTAAACGTGCAAGACCGAAGATCGAGTGGGTGGCCGTCGTTACTGCGCACCTCCGTGCATAGTGTGATACGCGTCGTCTTCGTTATCGGTTCTCTCCCTACGTCCCTATCGTCGGATAACTTAATAGTTGTATGATCAATCCGAATCGTCATCAGTGAGAAGAGACTCATTCGCTTAACGCGAGACGACGACACTCTCGACAAGTGCCGGAGAGTCGTTCTCATTTTTTTTTTCTCGTTTCGATTTTTCGAGCGGTCGTGAAACGTCGTCTCGCTTTTGTCAATGCGCGTAGAATGCATGCGTAATTCTACGGATCCGTGATTTTACGGACTTGGCAAAAAAAGAAAGGGGAAGATCCATGATTGTACGATAATACTTATTGGGATATGATGTTGTGCATAATAAATTATTTAATTTTCTGACGTTGTACCATTTTTGTTGCGTCGTACTATATAAATCTAGCGCACTCTTACAGGAGATATAGATTGCGACTCGTTTCTTTCACTTCGTACCCCGCCTCGACGATGCTACGCCGGTGTAATTAAATATATACGCTTTCGATCGGCTGGCTGCTTGTTTTCTTTTCCTCTACGTTCCTACGTGTTCATAAATCGCGACTGACGCGCTTTCGCACCAGCCGCCACGCAATAATTATACACCGATTTACTATATCGGTTTCGATAAAATAATTTAAATATTAAATAATTTAACAATCCATGATATATGTATATATAACACAGAACGTTTAAAATATTCATATATATATATATGTATATATATATATATATATATATATATATATATTTATAACAATAAACGAAAGCGTCACTTTCATCGTCGGTTTTCTCATCGTTAGACAATACTTAAGGCTCCCAGCTCGTCGCTGCAGCCACATCGGATTGCGTCGGAAGCGAAAAATCACGCGTGTGATTTCCTCTCGTAGTGTACACGGTGTCCTTTAACATGGCAATAATGCCCAAGCTGATTCAAAATGCAGCGAAGATCTTTCTCCTTCGACTTCCGAATGAACAACTGTAAGTCTCGATTGACCATCGTAAGTTTGACGTATATTATTATTAAAGACTACATGAAAAATCTTCGGCGCATTTTCTTGGCCTGTTTTGCCGGATAATTCGTTCTATGAGCGAGGATGGTCATTAGGATTTTTCGCTTCCGACGTTATAGGAGCCTCGACAGCTTTCAAACGACACAACATGACTCGATACGGGCTCAGTCTCCTCGCACGATGACGCGAGTGTGACTGTTTTGCTCTCTTCGAGCCCGAAACTGCTGGATCACAGTCTCGGTGTTCGGACGCGAATCGAAACACCACATCGGTACATCATCAGCTTCGCTCAAAGACCTCTACGTTACACTCAGGACCTACAACAACGTGCCATTAACCGGATTAGCCCGTTAGCGCCCGGTATTCTCGGCTGGAGAGAATGTTCCGACGGGTTCCTGAACCTGCTGGAACCCGTTCTCGTAACATTCTGCCCGTGTGTCCGACGACAGCTTGCCGTCGCGCATACACCGCTCGGTATCATTGGGCTGAGACATCTAAGCGGGAGTGGATTTTGCGAAAACTGCGTTCCCCCAATCGCTAGATCGAAAGGTTCGGACGTTAACGGGTCGGTATACTTGTCGTGCACGCGACAATTCGCACGTAGAAACGTGTTCGCGCGGAAGAGATCAACGTCGACGTACTCGCGTGCACGGATCGGCGTCGAGTCGCGAACTACATAGTGCGTAAATAGCCTTACGGTAATAATATTAACAGCGTCTCTCTAATGATACCGTTTTGTGTATATGTATGTGTGTATATGTGTCTGTATGCATGTGTACATTGTCTATATGTTTTCTTCGTATGGTACGTTATGTATGTGTACACATTATTGATAGCTGACGTAATACATTAATTCACTTAAATATTAATCAAATAAAAAAAGTGTTAACTATGTTAACGGCGAAATAACGTAGCCCCCGGTACAAACGAAGTTGGGGATGATCCGGCAGCGCTGACCGCGATGAAGGGGGACAGACCAGATGGTTCGAGGAAAGGAAGGAAATAGGAGAGACAGTGTTCGCTTACACGGAGAGAGACACGAAGCTGTTATACTGGGTGATGTTGCGTTTGAGGATGTCGGCGCATGGGCCTAAGACCCGTTCGAACCGTGCCCGGTCCAATTTCACGCACTTTAACGGGCCCCTAGCCACCACCGTCGCTGCTCGGGGCCTGTCCAACAGTAGCGCTATTTCTCCTGCGTCAAATAAAATAAAAAGAATTCTCATTATTAACATAGACTTTCCATTTTAGATACGGTGCTTAAGCTTCATCGCGCATGTTGCACAATTTGTGAAGCATGAATTTTTGTTGCGAAGCGCACGACTTTGTCTCACCGAAGTAGTCAGACGGCCCTAAGCGGCCGACCTCCGCCGGTTCGTCCCCTTCCGAGCGTTGCTGAAGGACCACCGCGGTTCCCTCGACGATTATATAAAAGTCTTCGCCTGGTTCGCCTTGTCGGACTATCGTCTCGCCGTCGTCGAACGCCACTGGTTCCAGAGCATCCGCCACCGTGAGTCTCTCCCATTTGTCCAAGGACTCTGCGAGAACAAGCATTGGTTACGATTTCCTCTTGCATGGGCATATTTATCTCTATGTAACGCTTTTAGATATCTCAAGAGAGAAAGAGATGTATAATATGACGTTTTGTAGTAATGAAACTCCCGAGCGAAGAACAAACTCACCCAAAATCGAGACCCTGGAGAGAAACTCCTCGTACATTTTCCGCTTCCTTATAGTGGAACCCATGAGAATCCTGCGGTAGGAGTCCCTGTCGATGCCCCAAAGCTTCACGTCGGTCTTCGCTCTGACGGTTGCCGCACGCGGAGTACCGTAGATTAACGCGAGCTCGCCGAAACTGCCGCCCTCGCCGATCGTCGTCGCCAGCTCGCCGTTGACGAAGATCTCGACCTCGCCTTGGTCGATCACGTAGAAATTGTCACCCTCGTCACCTGGAGGAACACGCGACTTGCTCAGTATCATCGGCGTTTAACACGCGCTCGAGTACGGTAATGAACGTGTCCGCAATTTCACAGCTCTTAGCCCTTTGCAATCCTATGTCGAGCTTACCACGACATCGCATTTCGCTCCTAACGATTCTATAAAACAACTTTTTACTCGTTAATAATGTCTAATTGCGTTGCTGTACATTTATTCTTTAAATCTTGAAATGTTGAAATTGTCGATTCTTTTCAAATGCTGTACGATTTAAACGTCTAAATTAAATTGTAATGTTGTGATAGTTCAGTATTAAAATATTGAAACGAACGTAAACTACTGTAAATAAATATATATGGGATATTGTAGATGATAATCTGGGGAGCAAATTACTTTCCGCAGATCGGTCGAGAAGAGAAGCCGTGGACAATTTAGACCGCAAAGGGTTAAGAATTCACGAGTCGGCCGCCTCAATCAGAAGGGAGACTTCGCGAGGCTAAGATCGATTGTCGTCGCGCGTGTACAATTACCTTGACGAATGATCGCCTCGCCGGGCAAGAACGTCACGGGGAACATCGCGTCGAATATGTCGGAGCGCTCGTTCTCGTCCAAGTGCGCGAACAACACGTTCTTGGCGATGGCCTTGCTCAAAGCGGCCATAGTCTTGTAGTCTTTCGGCACGACCTTCTTCACGTAACTAGTCGCGTCCTCCTCGGAGACCGGCTCCGCCGAGATGCCGCCGCGTCGCCGCGGCACTTGCGGGCCCTGCTGACCCGCGGGCATGTCCTCCGTGTCCTCTGGACTCGTGGCGATCTGCTGCTTGGCATCGTGAGCTTGTTCCTGCATACAAAAATAAAGCTACCTTAATCCTTGCTGAACAATCGCGAGCATCAAAGTCCCGTTGAGTCTTTGCCGTCCCGTTTCACACTTCTCTGTGTTTGACTCGAGGAGACATCGGTGTTCGTCGCGTCCTCGTCCCAGTATAAATGTAATAAATGTCTACGCGGAATATTCGCGAGTAGAAGAGAAAAAAAGAAACGATATACGCATCGTAAATACGATGAATAGTTTCTAGAAGCATTAGAAAAAAATTTAATGAAGGATCAAGCTGAATCAGCAGTCGATCGAGTAACAATCTACGAGACGTATTATGTAATAAGTTTAGACTCGACTGTATACAGGGTGTTATAGAACCGAGACTAACGTGTCGCCGTGTGCATCGTGTATTATTACTCGGTCTCGTATCAAAGTGCCGCGAGCCGCAGCGAGCGTGGAACGTCACGAGATGCTATTCGCTATTCCTGTTACGATCGCGGTCATTGCATCCGGCATATATTAGCCTAATTAATCCAATTCGTGCAGGCTCTAATCAGTAGAAGAGCTTCCCTTCGCGAAGTTGCGTCAGCAAAAACGGAGAGAGAGAGAGAGAGAGAGAGAGAGAGAGAGAGAGAGAGAGAGAGAGAGAGAAAATGGTGATTTCTAATTGATAGAACTCCGATCGATTTCCCAAACGGCGATGTTTCCACAAGAGAATCGGCTACCAATTCGGCCGGTATAAATTATGTAAAACTTCATCTAGGCAGCACGGAGCGCATGACGAAACAGCACGTTCGTCGTTAGCGCGCGTTTTAATAATTGTCGCGCACGATCGCGAGGCATTTTTAACTGTCGCATTATTTCACGTTCGGTCGCATCGTCTTTCATATTCGTTCTCATATTGCCGAGGCGTATTTTTAGTCGCGCGCGAGCGTGCGAGTGAGCGAGCGGGAGCGCCGAAAAATTAATTGCGGAAAGTTATCGCTGTCACGCGTGTGTGACGTCGCTAACGTCACGAGAATCAGAGCGTCGCTCTGATGTACGTAACGCGTGGTTGCGAACGTGTTAAGGTCACCGCGTTGCTCCACACATACACAAAACGCACACATGTACGTACTCCAGTTTCGTCGTCGGCCGTAGGTCGTGATTGTTCGGCAGGAAAAAAAGAAGAGGAGGCACGAAAATTAATAATTCATTAGGCACGAGCGCGCGCCTCCGCCGCGCCGAGGACTCGAAAACTCCGGCGCGCTTCGTGCACATTCTTATCATAAAATTACCGTTAAAATTATAAATTATATAGATGAAATCTCACACGTACATACACACACAGATCGCGTCGTGGTCTCATACGAACGATGTACATCGCCGAGACGAGAGGTGAGCGAATAATGCCATAGGTCAGTTGGCGTTTTCACGCACGAACGCGCCGTTCTCTCTTCTCCTCGTGGTGGCGACGACGCTGGCCGTCGTGGTCGGACGTCGCCACACTTCCAACGGGAATCACCGCGATTCGCATTTCCCCCTTTTAATCAGCCCGCGATGCATATGCTAATGCGCCCGCCGCATGCCGCTATCGCGAGTATTGGACTGCAAATTAATGCGGGAGAGAAAAGGGAAAGGGAGAACCTTTCTTCTCCTCCTCCTCTTCCTTCGAATAAAGACCGAATTCCCGAGGACGAATTCGAGACTTACGGGGACGCTCGCGGCGAACTCCGCTCTCTTCTTCGACAACATTCTCATCCGCGAAAATCATTCAACGGACGACGCATAAGTAGGAAAAATTGAATCAACGCAGTAATGAACGAACCGAATGCGTTTTTGATGGGGAAAAGGAATCTTTCATTCTCAGGAAGGAAATTTGACTCTAACAACCGGAAATTCCGTTTCCTTCAGCCAGAACGCGCTCTCGGCTCGTTCATCGTTACGTTCATCCAAATGATCTTGTTTCTCCGTGTGGATGAGTTTGTACTTTTGAGTACTTTTGAAATTTGAGCACTAAATTGTCTCGAAAAGTTGTACTCATAATTTCGCGCGAGACGCCCTGTATGTGAGATGTCGTGCTAGATTCCGCTCAAAGTCGATGGAATCAACGAAGACGTGCGCTCTTATACAATCCCTGGTCAATCGTGATATACAGCTGCCGACTGCGAGCCACAAGTGCTTCACGCACACGTGCACATGTGCGCACGTACGCACGTACGCACACATATACGCACGTCCACACATCCTTGAATACACTCGTGACATATGAGGGAATCTTATGTATCGCTTGTGAATCCTCATCTCGGCGCGAGTGTCTTTCAAGTTGAGGCCTCTTTTAATACGCGACATGCGATTCACGAGCAGCGCGAGCAACACAGCGACACAAAATACCGTCGATGGAGCCATACGTATTCATGCTTTTATTTTCGTGGACAAACGATTCGCAATTCGAACTGTTATATTGTGTCGAGCAGAGGTGATCCTCGAATCATACGCGTTGCCTATTCGACGAGTGTTTTACGAACACATCGATTTTCCTTTCTTTCTCTCTCTCTCTCTCTCTCTCTCTCTCTCTCTCTCTCTCTCTCTCTCTCTGCCCCTCTCTTTCTCTCTTTTCCTCTTTGCCTCCTCTTTCCAAAGTGTTTTCCGCAATTTTTGCTCTCCTCTTTCCGCGATCTTCTATTCGAGGAGATTCAGCATGAAAGGATTGTAAATAACACATCTTTGCTTTATTTACTCGAAGAATTACTTTTCGCGGGAAGACTCTTTACATCGAGGACAAAAGAGGTATTGTGAGGAAGCTACGACTGTTACTTGCGGGATATTAAACGAGAATGTATCAACTGTCTTATTTAATTTCGGATAGCTGAAAGTAACTTTCTCTGACATTTGCATAGTTTTATATCCGCGATTTCTTTATGGCAGGTCTTAGTCTCTAGAAGTTTGAACACGATGATCTCCGCGGGATTCATCGCGGTGCGAGATCGCAAATAATTCTTGGCACAAAATAATAAGATTCCGTTGGACGAAATCCATGCCAGAAATCGGGAGGATGAGCGGTGAAAAATATGAAAACTTCGCCGACCGAGGCGCACGGTCGAGTCCGGCCGATTTAGAGCCGCGTTCGCGGTGGATTAATCACGTAACCTTCCCGTGAGTCCGAAAAAACGAAAAGTCCACGTTCCTCGCGAAGCAAAATCGTCAGTCCCGATTCGCACGAAATTGTACGGAGAAAGAAAATGGATTCGATTAATGTGAACAAATCGAGGACGTTTTGCTCGAAGGAAACAGAACTTCCGCTTGTTGAAACCAAATTCGCTTTACGAGAACCAGAAATTCCCACGACCGAAACATGCTTTCGATCTGTTCATTGTCACGTTCATTCAATCGATCTTTTTTCTCCGAGCGCGAACATTTATTTTGCTTCACTCGACGAGCGCGAGCGCATTATGCTCCGTGACGTAACATCCTTCGCCAGATCTTACGTCGAACAAAAGAGAGAGAGAGAGAGAGAGAGGAAGACACTACGAGACACGTGATCAAATTAAAACACTAAACTCTTCACTGACTTGATCAAGGTGATCTCCTTCCGGGATCAATTGTACGCGCGCGTAACTTCAACGACGACGCTCGGCCTCTCGCTCTTCCCCCTCATACCTCGTTCATTGTTTTTCCTGGATCCTCCTTGATCTTGCTTAATCCTTCTCGTTTCGCGTCTTCCTCTCACTGTCTCCGTTTTCCACCTCTCCTCGTCTTCTATTTTCCGCGAGTGTAAGCCAACACCTGAGAATCGGCCGCCTTTCACGGCAGCGTGTCGCAGGTCGGCGATCGCACGAATCCTCGCGAACGTGAACGCAAAAAGGAGACCGTCGTCTCGCACTCGCAATCCCGCGATCTTCGTCGTCCCGGCTCGTCTCCACGGCCTCGCGTCTCCTTCTCCCACTCGTTTCGCGATTTTATAAGGCCTCGGACAGAATCCAATTAGAAGTCGGAGGCGATCTAACGCGCGCGCGACTTCGCCGTCGGCGCGACAGCGTCGGTACACTCACTACTGCTCGTCCGCTCGCTCGTGCCGCCGTCGCCGCCGCCTGCACCGCCGCTGCCACCGCCACCATCATCGCCGCCTCCACCGCCTCCGGACTCGTCGCTGTGCGGAGGATGGATAGATATGCCGAGATGCTGCCTCGTGGTCGTGGTCGGTAAGTAAGGTCTTCCGCTCGCATTTACGCGCGCCGACGACGACGGCAGATCGATTCGCCAAGGCAGAATTTTTCCAGGACCCGTGTTTCGGCTCTCCATGACGAGAAATTCGCAGCGTGGGTCACGCAGAAGACGATACTCCAGGGACCAGCCGGGTATCGCATGAGCCTGTGCTCGCTCAACAGACTCGTTTCGGGAGAGTATTGAGTCGCAGTGTTAAAATTTAATATCTCGTTGCCCCATTTTCTTTTTTCTTTTTTTCTTTTTTTTTTTTTGATTAAACTGACGAAATGTTTTTCCTTCCAGGTTTCGCGCAATGCTGCCTCGGTGCAATTGTCGAACTGCAAGATCCGTGTTGCTGGACCATGTCCGGACAGAGCATCGATCCGTGATGACGGCGTTCTTCAAGGCCCTCCGGCTTGTAAAAGTACGAGATTGGTAACAAAGACGAAGGACACATACTTCGGTAGACGGTACTTCGCTTATCAACCTAGTGCCGTTCTCGTAAGCACTTGCTGTCGGTGGAGAGACTCAATTAACGAGGATTTTGTCGCTGGAGGTTGCGACCTTCAGCTTTTTTTCATCAAACTGACATACCGCTTTTTTCAGGTGTCGCGACAGGTTTTTTTGACGTACAATTTTGCCCCGACGCAATCGCCGAATTACAAATCCGCGATGTTGGAGGCACGTCGGAAGGGAGCATCGATTTAAATGTCCCATTTCGAGTGTGTCATCGTGCAACATTGCGAGCCCCGATGGTAGCAGTATTGGAGCTCAGGATATGATAGCTCCGGGCGTCAAAATGCCAGCGTTATTCTACCGCGACAACATCGAGGGAGAAGATCGACGTCGAGACGACAGGAAGAACGATGAAGGCGGTGGCGACGGCTGGATTCATTCGGTCGCGGCTTTCCACATTTTTGCGGAATGCTTTTAACACGCGGCCATTCTCGCGCTCGTTCGCTTTCTCTCTCTCTCTCTCTCTCTCTCTCTCTCTCCTCTCTCTCTCTCTCTCTCTCTCTCTCTCTCTCTCTCTCTCTCCCCCTCTTTCTCGGCTAAGGTTGCGCCTCGTTATATTTCGAGCGTGCTCTATGTTTAGATCAGCTACCCCTATATATCGCGCTCTCTTTCTCGCACTTCCTTACACACTTCATACACACAACACACAGACACACACACACACACACACACACACATGTGCGCGCGCGCGTGCGACTCCAAGCTCCCTCAACCCCCCTTTGTGTCATTCCCTCCTCGTTGCTCGCCCTTTTTCTCTTTCCTTTCCTTCCTTCTTGCTTTTCCGCGCTCTCCGTCTCACCGTGCCCTTTCTTAAAACCGAACACAGTAAGATGGAAGGAGCTCTGCAAGCGGGCAAATATCGGCGAAAAATTTATGCGGTTATTTCAGAGTAAACATCATCTACGGAACGACGCGCCATTATCATGTGTATTTTCAATAACGGACTTCTCCCCCGAACGTCGAGCTCGCGTTCGATCCTGCGTTCGCCAGCGAGCAATTTCTGCGTTACACAGCGACGAAATTTCATTCTCTAATTCCGGATGGATATTGCTCGGGCGGATTTCTAATTCGAGGATCCATTACGCGAATGTGCGTGCGTCGCGTTGCAAGTCGCTCGTTCGTTCGTCCCTCTTGTACGCCCCTCCCCCCTTCCCTTCCCTCCAATCCTATTTTTATATTTTACGTATTCTCGACTTCCACATTTCGCGTTCACACGCTCTCGTCTGCACGCTCGCGGGCGCGTTTATCATTCTCCTTCGTAGGCAGCGTATCTCTTCGCTGTTTGTGTTCTCTCCAGCGAGATTTCTATTCTGGAATAGAATCTCTCGTGTCGTCTTCGTCTAACGTACGCAGCCGCCACCCTATCCTTTCCCTCCTTCGTCATTCTCTCCTACGCGCTGTTTTTGTCATCTACACCGCACACAAGCACGAAAGGCAAACACGCGAACCCGGCGATCCGCGCCCGCCGTCCCGCGTGTCTCTCTGCCGCTCCTCCAGGTACCGTCAATATAGCGCGACGCTACTATCGCGTTGTACCGCGTTTCTGCATTGTCACACCGCGCGACGCTGCACGCGAGGGTAGGAATACCCATCGGACAGGCACCCTCGCGCGACCTTAAATCTCGCCCACATTATACGAACAAGACCATCGCTCTTGACTAAGGTTGAGATAAAGGATGATCCTGTTTTTCTGTGGAAGAAAGAAAACTAGGTCGGGGGAAAGAAAGAGAGAGAACAGGGGGATAAAGCTGGGATATATTCATAAATCTACATACTTCCTTTCATAAAACGACTGTGTGGGAGCATGTCCTTCGCCTTCCGTGTCGAACATTCGGGATCGCTATCGCGGACGACCTGGCGGTGTCGGGTTCGGCGGCGCCGTGTTTCCAGTCGCCGACGATCGCTTTACGTCAGCGGTGTGTCAAGCGTCGCTTATTTTTGGCGGTCGTTTCTTCCCCACGAGGGAACGAGCATGCTCTCGCGCGCGCGTCGATTCTGCTCGTTCTTTCAACGGGCGAGCTTTGATTTCCGCATGTTATACACACACGAAGTCGCAGACTCGTGTGGGTGGGTGATGCCGTTGACGGTGGTAGTGGCGACGGCGGCGACTCGAGGCTGGCCTCGCGGCGCGTTGCCTCGAGCACGAACGCCGCGATAATTACCGCCGTAACGTACGCGAAATGGGAAAGGTAACAACAGCAGCGAAAGGTCTCGGGGATCCGCGGAAACCGAATCGGGGGCTCACGGCATTGAGCACCGGCACCGGCACTTCGGGAAACGTCACTGCGCTTGATTGATAGAACGTCCATCCCCTGCCCGCGAGCTTCCGTGAACTTTCGGCCGCGAATACGTCTCGCGGGATATCAAGCATTAATCGGATGGGATCGGATATATTCCGAAGATCGCTCTCCTCTCTCGTTCTGCCCCTTCTCCTCCGTCGACTCGTGCGATAAACAAAATTCCGCATATCGCGACCTTTGAACGGTCTTGAAAAATGCATGACGCGACTTGTACATGAGCGTGGTAACAGCAAGAGTGTTTATTTGCAGCTTCCACGTGTCATTATTAACAACACACGTGGGGGATGTTTTCAGAGAGCAAGAGGAAAAGAAGGGGAGAGAGGGAGTGAGAGAGTAGCAATTAAACTCTCTTATCAATAGCTCGATTTAAAGAAACACGTCGGTACATTAGGCACCAGAGAGACCGTATGAGCAAACGGTAGCGATGGCAGCACTGGCCGTGTGCAGGTTGTAAATTACCAGCATTATCGCTAGTCGTTAAATCGGTGCCGTTTGATACGTCGATCCGTCGTACGCAGCGATAAGCATTCTTGATGAAATATTGACTCGTCGTACCATTTATTGAAAAATCCTCGAGCTCTGCTCAGGCCTGTGTTTGTCATTCGCGATTGTTATCCATGACGTCGGGAGATAACACGCGACACTCGCACGTCGGGTTACAATGTTTACCGAAGCGCGAGATGCAGTCGCGATAATGACATTCCTATGAAATGCATTCAACCAGCGAGTCCTACGGCATATAAAACTCGAGATAAGGAATATAAGGCACGTATAAGCTTAGAAGAATGTGTGTACACATATATACACCACCATAACCGTATATTATAGTGACGCGTTCTCCTCAGGTTGTGAATGCGAAATTAGAATGAATTTCAGGGGGACATGCGGATACGTTCCTGCAGGACTCTCCGAGAAGGAGAGAGGCATCCTCGGTAACCCAGGACGCCTGGTCGTCCTGTCGGAGTCCTGCTGCTCGAGGAACGTCATGTCACGCGAGTATCGACGCAGCCACTAGACTACGATAACGTTGACGTTGGCGTTACCGCGTCGTCGCGATTTCACTGGGAAATCGACGAGACGCGCAGCGAGGATCACGGAGTCAGCCGAGAGTGTGAGAATCGCGAGCACGTCGCGGAGGATCCTTCGGTCAGGTTAATTGGACGCGATCGCAGGTAAGAGAGAAAGAGAGAGAGAGAGAGAGAGAGAGAAAGAGAAAGAGAGAGGTTGGCGTTTCGCGCACTCACCCTTTCCAGCTTCTGGAAGTACTCCCGAAGGAAAGAGATCGGATTCTCGGGCCGACCCACACACAGTTGCACTATACAGTCTTTCAGGACTTGTTGAATATTGTGTCTCTGCACGTATTCCTCGCACTCGCGTAAGCTCTGTTCCTCCTCGAGATTCGCCGCCATATTGATAATGCACAGCGCGCCGCTTTATCGGCGATACGTGTGTGCGGCCGCGACTCTGCTCTACGACGCAGCGGGAGCGCGCGACCCTGGCTGGTTGGCTGGCTCGTTCTCGCTCTTCCGCCTGAGCACGACCTGTTTCTCTGGAAACGGTGAGTCGACTAAGATTCTGATTCTGATATTACCGAAGGAGACAGGGAGAAAACGCGATCCTCTCACAGCCGCCAGACGATCGACGCGATGGACGCGCGGCGATCGGCGCATAACCTATGACATCGAGAATTCAATGGGAGTCGAGCGAGCTCGATTCATCGGTACGTCTCGACGAACTTGAGTTCCGACGTCGTGAGGAGGTTCAAGTTCGCGATGAAACCGCGTCAAAGGGACGCGTCCACTCGTCACCTTTGCAAACACGATAAATTCTTCACGGCTCACGAAAGTCGATAATTTCACACGCCGAAGACGCGGTGAGCTGCTCCGCGTGGTGAGCGCGCTTCGAAATCCCCGCGCGCGTCCGCGCATGCGCGACTGACCGATGCTATTGGTCGATCACCATCGCGGCCGCGATAGATCGAACGCGGCCGGTGTCGATCGGTCGACATTGCGAGCATCGATCATTCTCACTCGCACGCTCGCCGCAGTTGC